ACCTCAAAAGTTCCCAGATTAAGCTTTGGGAAAATTTTGATCTCAGATCTTTGTATGATCATCATTAGCTTAAATCCCCATAGAACATATACTTTATATCTACAACATTAAGGAATCATAACCAAAACAACAAAAAGCATCCTGAATGTCCAGCCAAAAGATAAGTGCTTCGGACTTTGAGGAAAACATGAATTATGAAGTGTGTGGTTCAAAAGAAATTTTTTTAATTAGTGTATATCCTAAAAACATTATCAAAAACATCATCTGATATGAAACCAAGGTTGGCAACTAAAGAAAGTTAGTGGTATGAGCACTTTGGAAATTGTTCTGTGGTTTCATGACCCTGATGAATTTTTTTCAAGATACTTTTGCTGCCAATGAAGAAACATAAGTGGCTCCACTGAGTAGACACATATTGAAATCAATACAAAATTCTGCCTGTGTGTATTCTAACATTTCAGAATTCAATTATACACAGTCTAAGAAGGCAGTTTTCTTGAATTATCTATTTTTTTTTTCCTTGCAAGAGAAGCAAAGACACCAGTATTGACCTGAGCACCTAAACTTTCCTTTGGTGTTGTTTTATTTCAAAACAAAACAAAACAAAAATCAGTATCATAGGCCATTTAAAATATGAAGGAATTGTAAGAGTTTATTTTACTTTATGAAAACTGATTCATCAAAGCCCTGTGGATTTCCTAACCATGCTGTGGTAAAATATAAGATTAGTGTAGCAATTCCTTCATTTACTTTTAACATATCAAATTAATGATCCTGTTAGCCACTATTTCAAGATTACAAGGTAATTCTTTAAAACCATGGGACTTCTCACATTCTATCACTGTTAATTAGCCTTTCTCATCCTGCAGAAAGATTTTCATTAAAGATTATCATTGTAAATTTAATATTTCTAAAAATTGCATTTTTCTGATTATTTTTAAAACTTCATATTCTTTATGATCCACATGTCTTATTGTTCTTTTATTTTCATTCTAGCATCATAAAGGGGTCATCTTACTTTATCATATGCAAATACATGCAGGTGTTCTAGCTGAATAGAAAGCTATGCTAGTTTAACACTAAAAGGAGACTCCTTTTAAAATATCTCTTGCCCTAGGGACCGTCTTCCATTATCGTTGTTCATTCCTGGTGAGAAATTATTAAGCAGTTGTTACAAAGATGAGCTTTAGAGCCAGACCCAGGAAATCTGCAATCTGTCTTTGGTACTTTCTAGCATCTCTTAGTGCTTCAACTTCCTCATCTACAAAATAGAGTTAATAATAATAGGCTTAATCATAGCTATAAGTTTGTAATGAGAATTAAATGAGTCAATGTTTTAACTGCTTAAAAGGCTACCTGCTATGTAGTAACTTTTATATAGATTTTGTGAAATAAAAGAAATATATTCCATTGCTACACATGACTTTCATCGTCTTTCCAAAGTAAAAATGTGTACATAAGATGTTATGGAAAAACTCAAATGAACTTTTTGGCCATCCCAACACTTTTCTTCTTTCCCTGTACCACTTCATAGAGTTTGCATTATTTTATTTACTTTCTGTGTCAGAGGTCAGTTGTGTTCTTCGTGGGAGACTTGAGTCACTAGCTATGGGTGTGAAGGTTTGGGGAGTTAATGACAAGTAACTGCAAGGAGATCCAACCACTCAATCCTAAAGGAAATCAGTCCTGAATATTCATTGAAAGGACTGATGCTGAAGCTGAAACTCCAGTACTTTGGCCACATGATGCAAAGAACTGACTCATTGGAAAAGACCCTGATGCTGGGAAATATTGAAGGCAGGAAGAAAAGGGGACAATAGAGGATGAGATGGTTGGATAGCATCACCGACTGGATGAATATGAGTTTGAGCAAGTTCTGGGGGTTGGTGATGGACAGGGAAGCCTGGCATGCTGCAGTCCATGGGGTCGCAAAGAGTCGGACATGACTGAGTGACTGAACTGAACTGAATTGAATGGGTCCATTCCTCACTCACATATTATTCTACAGCAGTTTCCTAATACTACTGTTCTAAGCCACTTATTTATTAATGAATATAAGTCATGATCACAATACATCTGGATTTAATGAAGTACAGTGGCAACTAAGTTAATGTCTATATTCATAATCAGACTATCCTTAGAAGTTTTTCACAAGCAAGGCCATTGTTATTAAAAGTCATAGAAAACCATAAAAAGACTCCTCCCACATATACTAGTTTTATTTTGTTTTAAATTTTTGACAGAATGTTATTCAGTTTTAGACTTGCTTGTATGCTGAGCATTGTAATGACTAAGAGTCAGGGGGCAGAAAAGGTGGTTGAACTGGGAGAATTTATTATCCAAGGGGAAAAGTTCAAGTTATTATAAAATGCTTCATTACCAAAAAATAAGAATTCCACATGAACTGACATATGTAAACAGCATGTGCAAAACTAGGAAATGACCATTTCTGAGTAGCTCTCTATTTCCCCCAGTACTACACAGATGCTAGGATATTAGCTGCAGTGAATATTTATGACCTCATAGTTGTCCCCTACACACAGAAAAGCTACTGTGAGTGATTTGCTTTTCTTTTCAATGCTTTTTTTTTTTCTTAAATCATGTTAATTTTTAAAAATCTAACTTGGAATTTCAAGACATGCACCCCAGTTGTATACAGAATTTTCTAAAGATTCTAATAAAAATCTAAAAATTTACTTATAAGGCTATTTCTTATAAGGAAATGAACACTTACATTTTTATTTTCATTATTCAAAGAATAAGTTGAACTATTTCGTAGTTCACAAGTTACTTTAATTAGTTGAACTTTACAGATAAGAACAATTCTGCTTAATGGGATTCCATTGCAGTATTTGCCCATTTAAATGAAATAAACCCTCCAAGTCACTGTCTGTATTATGAGTCTTAATTGTCATCTGAATGGCAGAGGGAAGCATTATCAAAGAGTTTACAGATTTCAGTGGAGGAATAGAAATAATTTAATTTTCAGGTTATACTCTATTTCAGTAGTTTCTGTTTAGATTGTTGCTTTTGAAATCCCGCAAATGAGTAGTGAATATCTTACTAAATATAAGGAACTATAAAACTTATTTATAAAATATATGTTTTCTTTAAACTTTTCAGAGGCTAGCCCAGTGTTTACCAAAAACAAGGTTGGAAAGTCCCTATCTATATTATATTCATAGTAATAGTACGCAGTGCAATCCACCACTCTATGACACATCTTAAATTTCAGTTGACATCTCAGGCAGTAAGGACACCCAAAGCTGTCATATACCTACAAGATTTACCTAATAAAAGAGTCTCAAGTAAAACACACTGTATAAGAAACAACTGTGTGTCTAACAAGATTTAAACAAACAGGAGAATCAGTGATCAGCAAGAAATTGGTACAGTTAATTATACTGCACTCAATTTAGCAGAATACAATCAGGAGTAACTGGCTGAAAAAAAATATTGCTGATAGAACAATATATCATTCATAGATGAAAAGTCTTACTTAACAGTGTCTAATTTCACTTGATATCTATTTACCCTAGCCCATTTCATGTCACACTAGTAGTTTAAATCTTTGGACCTTAAAGTACAGATTTTAAAATTGTGTGCTTTTCCTCAAAACTGCTATTCTGAAGACTACATAAGTTCTTAATTAAGTATATAGATGTGGATTATATGACCATGTATTCTACATTCTCATCAGTTTTCTTGAGACTGGATCAGAAGTGCAAGAGTAGAAAATTTGAAATTTGGCAGAACTTCATGAATTTGGATTCAAGTAATTTAAATCTAGTAAGAATCTGGACAGCTCCTGGGTTGCAATGAACTTTATTTAATTAATCATTTCTTCCCATAGTGCATACATTAATTCTGCAACTCTTCCTAAAGAGTATAAATTAACTCTGCAAAATATTTAAGGATATTATTATTATAGAACACATAACTTCCATGAGTTTCAGAAGCACTCATCAAATAATAAACAATGTGATTCTCTCCTCATTCCTTTTGGGTTGTTTTTCTAATACTCTAGATATACATTTATGTATCTACCTTTTAAAAATTTATTTCCTTAGCAACATGTAAAAGATATTTGAAAATACCTGGATAGAGGGTAATTTATGGTTATTAATTTGGCACCCAAGGGTTCAGATGCAGGACCTCTATGTTATTAGCAACATTAGGTAAACCAGCTACAGTATAACAAATCACAAACAAATGTTTAGATTGATCTCATTTCATTTTTAAATTCCCCTAAGTCCTCTATGAAGAAAACAAATGTGATTGACTTTGTCAGTCGCATTCTAAGCAGTCCTGATGGAGATGAGTAAAAGTGGATTCTTTAAAAATAGCTTATAGGTTAATTTCTTTTTAAATTCAAACTGGCTTGTTTCAAGGAGGTCATACTAAAATTTTCCTAATTAACATAAAATCAAATTATCCTATACCTTAAATTTCCCAGATGACTCAATGGTAAAGAGTTTGCCTGCCAATGCAGAAGATGAAGGAGGCCCAGATTCAATCCCTGGGTCTGGAAGATTCCCCTGGAGGAGGAAATGGCAACCCACTCCAGTAATCTTGTCTGGAGAATCCCATGGACAGAGGAGACTGGCAGGCTACAGCCCATAGGGTCACAGAGTTGAACACAACTGAGCATGCACACATATATACCTTAAATTTAAGTCATACTACAAAAGAGTGGCTCTCAATTTCTGTTGTTGTTGTTCTCCCACTATCTTGTGACTAGACTTAAACATCAGTGAAACAATCATTTAGAAGATACTTTTTGGGTGATGCTTGCATCTGATTCAACAAATAAACTACCTCCACTATTATTATCAAACCACACTAGGAAGAAATAGGTATTTATAGTCATATTTTCACATGAATAGAGGGCAAAGTCACCTAAAGAAGTTTCAAAGAACATATATTGAGAAATATAACAAATTTTTTTATATACATTCATAAAAATCAGTTAAAGGGAAACATCATGTTTCCTTTCAAACCTGTGGATGGGGATGAGTCCAGATCTCCACAGTAGTTGTCTCTTTCATGGGTGTGTGAGATCGTACAACTTCCTTCATTGGCTTTAAAGAGGGAAAAAACAGAAATATTTGTTAAATGATTTGTTAAAAATGAAAAACAGTATATTGCACACAAGCATCAAACACAGGTAAGTAAAAGAGTGCCTTGGTAAATATCTCTTTCTAGACATTGTAGTTATTGAGAATTTACAATGCAACAGGGACAGTTCTAGGTAAGGGAATAAACAAGAGAAAAAAGAATTCTTTTTTTCACAAAGCTTATATACCAGTGTTACATTTAAGAGTTCCATTAAACATATGAATAGGATTGTGGAGGGCGATTTTAAAATATTTAAATGGATGAACTTCAAGCTGCGGACACTTTCAGTCCAATGCTTTTACTTCTCAATGGCTTCAATAACTTGTATTTGCAAATTTACAGTGTCTGAAATTAAAATCTATCCTGGAAGTGCCACCACATCGCAAATTTGCTGTTTATCATAGGAAGATATTTAATAGTTGCTATAAATGGCAATGAATTTATGAATTGGTACACAGATACTAGCATACCAACCCAGAATAATTATCATGATCTCGAAAAGACATTTTTTTACCCATTTTATTTTTCTCAAGACAGAGAGCATATTCTCTGTTTTCATTATGTTGAATATATTTAGAAAAGTCAGAGGAACCAGAGATCAAATTGCCAACATTCGCTGGCTCTTTGAAAAAGCGAGAAGGTTCCAGAAAAATATCTACTTTTGCTTTATTGACTAAGCCAAAGCCTTTGACCATGAGGATCACAACAAACTATGGAAAATTCTTAAAGAGATGGAAATACCAAACCACCTGACCTGTCTCCTGAGAAATCTGTATGCAGGTCAAGAAGCAACAGTTAGAACTGGACATGGAACAACACACTGGTTCCAAATAGAGAAAGAGTATGTCAAGGCTTATATTGTCACCCTACTTATTTAACTTATATGCAGAGAACATCATGAGAAATGCCAGGCTGGATGAAGCACAAGCCGGAATCAAGATTGCCAGGAGAAATATCAATAACCTCGGATATGCAGATGACACCACCCTTATGGCAGAAAGCACAGAAGAAGTAAAGAGCCTCTTGATGAAAGTGAGAGAGGAGAGTGAAAAACCTGGCTTAAAACTCAACATTCAGAAAACTAAGATCATGGCATCTGCTCCCATCATTTCATGGCAAATTGATGGGGAAACAAAGAAACAGTGAGAGACTTTATTTTCTTGGGTTCCAAAATCACCACAGATGGTGACTGCAGCCATGAAATGAAAAGACACGTGCTCCTTGGAAGAAAAGTTGTGATCAACCTAGACAGAATATTAAAAAGCAGAGTCATTACTTTGCCAACAAAGGTCCGTCTAGTCAAAGCTATGGTTTTAATATGTATGGATGTGAGAGTTGGGCTATAAAGAAAGCTGAGCATGGAAGAATTGGTGCTTTTGGACTGTGGGGTTAGAGAAGACTCTTGAGAATCCCTTGGACTGCAAGGAGATCCAACCAGTCCATCCTAAAGGAAATCAGTCCTGAATATTGATTGGAAGGACTGATGCTGAAGCTGAAACTCCAATACTTTGGACACCTGATATGAAGAGCTGACTCATTTGAAAATACACTGATGCTGGGAAAGATTGAAGCCGGGAGGAGAAGTGGACGACACAGGATGAGATGGTTGGATGGCATCACCGACGTGATGGAGATGAGTTTGAGTAGGCTCTAGGAGTTGGTGATGCATAGGGAAGCCTAGCCTGCTGCAGTCCATGGGGTCACAAAGATTCAGACACAACTGAGTGACTGGACTGACTGACTATATTTTCTAAATGTGTGAATTTAGTATATGTGATAAAGGGTTTGGAACATCACGTTTTAGGGCTCAGTTGAGCAAGAATTATTATGCTTTCATTTAAATGAAAATTGTGTTTATTCTGCAATGACACTATCATTTCAGTTCAGTTCAGTCACTCAGTCGTGTCTGACTTTTTGTGACCCCATGAATCGCAGCACGCCAGGCCTCCCTGTCCATCACCAACTCCAAAAGTCTATCCAAACCCACGTCCATCGAGTCGGTGATGCCATCCAGCCATCTCATCCTCTGTCTTCCCCTCCTCCTCCTGTCCCCAATCCCTCCTAGCATCAGGGTCTTTTCCAATGAGTCAACTCTTCGCATGAGGTGGCCAAAGTATTGGGAGTTTCAGCTTCAGCATCAGTCCTTCCAATGAACACCCAGGACTAATTTCCTTTGGGATGGACTGGTTGGATCTCCTTGCAGTCCAAGGGACTCTCAAGACTCTTCTCCAACACCACAGTCCAAAAGCACCAATTCTTCGGCTCTCAGCTTTCTTCACAGTCCAACTCTCTCACATCCATACATGACCACTGGACAAACCATAGCCTTGACTAGATGGACCTTTGTTGGCAAAGTAATGTCTCTGCTTTTTAATAGGCTATCTAGGTTGGTCATAACTTTCCTTCTAAGGAGTAAGCATCTTTTATTTTATTTTAATTTGTTTTTATGTTTTTATTTTTTTATTTTTATTTTTTGTTCCATTTATTTTTATTAGTTGGAGGCTAATTACTTTACAATATTGTAGTGGTTTTTGCCTTACATTGACATGAATAAGCCATGGATTTACATGTGTTCTCCATCCTGAACTCCCCTCCCCATCCCATCCCTCTGGGTCATCCCAGTGCACCAGCCCCGAGCACTTGTCTCATGCATCCAACCAGGACTGGTGATCTGTTTCACACTTCATAATATACATGTTTCGATGCTGTTCTCTCAGATCATCCCATCCTCGCCTTCTCCCATAGAGTCCAAAAGTCTGTTCTATACATCTGTGGCTCTTTTTCTGTCTTGCATATAGGGTTATCAATAGCATCTTTCTAAATTCCATATATATGCATTAATATACTGTATTGGTGTTTATCTTTCTGGCTTACTTCACTCTGTATAATGGGCTTCAGTTTCATCCATCTCATTAGAACTGATTCAAATGAATTCTTTTTAATGGCTGAGTAATATTCCATGGTGTATATGTACCACAGCTATCTTATCCATTCATCTGCTGATGGGCATCTAGGTTGCTTCCATGTCCTGGCTATTATAAACAGTGCTGCGATGAACATTGGGGTATATGTGTCTCTTTCAGTTCTGGTTTCCTCGGTGTGTATGCTCAGCAGTGGGATTGCTGGGTCATATGGCAGTTCTATTTCCAGTTTTTAAGGAATCTCCACACTGTTCCCCATAGTGGCTGTACTAGTTTGCATTCCCACCAACAGTGTAAGAGGGTTCCCTTTTCTCCACACCCTCTCTGGCATTTATTGCTTGTAGACTTTTGGATAGCAGCCATTCTGACTGGCATGTAATGGTACCTCACTGAGGTTTTGATTTGCATTTCTCTGATAAAGAGTGATGTTGAGCATCTTTTCATGTGTTTGTTAGCCATCTGTATTTCTTCTTTGGAGAAATGTCTGTTTAGTTCTTTGCCCTTTGTTCAATTGGGTCATTTATTTTTCTGGAATTGAGCTGCAGGAGTTGCTTGTATATTTTTGAGGTTAATCCTTTGTCTGTTTCTTCATTTGCTATTTTTTTCTCCCATTCTGAAGGCTGTCTTTTCACCTTGCTTATACTTTTCTTTGTTGTGCAAAAGATTTTAAGTTTAATTAGGTCCTATTTGTTTATTTTTGCTTTTATTTCCAATATTCTGGGAGGTGGGTCATAGAGGATCTTGCTGTGATTTATGTCAGAGAGTGTTTTGCCTATGTTCTCCTCTAGGAGTTTTATAGTTTCTGGTCTTACATTTAGATCTTTAATCCATTTTGAGTTTATTTTTGTGTATGGTGTTAGAAAGTGTTCTAATATCATTCTTTTAATTTCATGGCTGCAATCACCATCTGCAGTGATTTTGGAGCCCAAAAACATAAAATCTGACATTGTTTCCACTGTTCCCCCATCTATTTCCCATGAAGTGATGGGACCAGATGTCATGATTTTAGTTTTCTGAATGTTGAGCTTTAAACCAATTTTTTTCACTCTCCTCTTTTGCCACTATAGCTGTGACAAAAATAATTCAATACACATTGATATTACCAAGCTAAGCACTCATCATAACATTCCAACTCACAAGAAAGCAACAAAAGAATTAGGGAATTAAAATGAAGCATATCATCATAGAATTTCATCACAAAAATAAATAAAAATGAGTGACAAAATTTAGTTTCTGAAAGGTTCATTTGTTAGCCAATCAGAGAGAACCACTTACTGATGTGAGTTATTAAATCAGGATTGCTTAGATAACCAAAGAAACAGGTCTAGAGAACATAAACTTAAAACTATTAGCATTTCACCACATTGAGAGTAACATCAATGGTGATTTTTTTTTAAGGCAAATGATATTAGGTGGTTTTCCTTGTCTTCATGAGTTAACAGATGCTACCAACAACTTTTAATTATTAATACTTACTTGAGGAAGCAATAACAAGTTTGAAGTGACTGAAGAATGAATTGTGTTGAACAGAATAGAGAAAAATATTTTCAAAGAATATGACAAAACCTGATGTAGAATCTGCTAAGGTGTCTTACAATTAATGGTGGGTAAGATAAATGTGGCACAGAAAAAAAGTTTAACTGGACAAATACACAAGACTTGGGACAATGTAAGGTGTTCAAGGCATATGTTTATTTGTACTAATATTATACATCAGCAGGTATTTTGTGAAAAATATTTGAGTGTATCATGTGTTATTGAACTAATGAACTTGTTCACTATTGATAATGGAACCATATTCATTCTGTGAACTTTCATCTAAACAGCACGCTGAATGTTCTGACTTGCCCTACCATATAAGTAGTTAGAATATAAATTGGCTTATAAATGGCAAAGGTTTATTTTTGAGCTCAAAGCCAAGACCGAAATTTTGCTGAATTTGAAGTTCCCTTGACCATTATTATTGAATACTGACTCACTCTGGCAGTTAGCTTTTATTGCAAACTTGATAATGTCTTAATAAATCAGTCTAAAATTATAAG